CCCTGGCACGTTTTTATTACGTTGATATAGGTACGTATTGCTGTGTTTTTATTAAGTTTCTTCAGGTACGTATTGCGGCGATTCAGAATTCAAATATCCGGGGACTGTCGCTAAACGTTAATGCTCTATCGTGTTGGAAATATGCCCTACACCAAACCCAACCCTAAACCTACCCGATAGTGTTAACAAATGCAAAACTAATATAAAAACACATTTTTTGATGCAACCGTGCCATTTGAACTTCCTTATATGCAGATTTGAACTGTTTTGTCGAACCGTACATACACGATATTCGAACCGGAGCTCCTCGCCTCTCAATTACGTCTCCGTACGCTACCGAACAAACCTATCGTCTATGAAAACCCATTGATATGAAGCTGGATATGTGCGGTGCTAACATTCAAAAGCATCAGTTTTCAAATCTCCCAGCACATTAAGAATGTTCTAAAGTCACAACATAATATTTTTCAAGTAATTGTGCGAAAATTATGCTTTATTAATCGAAACTCTGTAAATCATACTTTGTGTGAAAATAATTTAAAAGGTGTCGGAGTTTTACTGCCTCTAGTGTTCATTTCTTTTGGAAACTGCAGTGATATGTACTTATTGCTACGTATTTCGCGTCTCGCGAAAAAGTGGCCCCAGGTACGATTTTTGCCATGAGACTGGGTAGGCATTTGGCTACCTGTGAGATTTGGTCTGAATTGAGGTCATAATGAGGCATTTCATTGTAGACTTTGGTGAATCTGAACAAAATAACTCTTGAAACTCTAGTTGAAGCACATGTGAGTTTAGCTTGATCTTTTGTTCTGGAGACACCTGGACCTAAAGCAATGACGGCGATAGGGTCATTTCTCATGTCATGGCCCCTTTAAAACAATGATTTGATAATGAAATGATAAATATAGGATTACCATGATAGACTTCATTGCTTTAGGTCAAGGCCAGAGCAGAGGATACTGCTCAGTCAGAAAGGTCTCAGTTACTTAATAGATAATAAAAATTAAAAAAAACTTTTAACAGACTCAATGTATCTTTATGTTTTCTAAAGTGAGTGAGAGCTGTTCGTTTTCTGAGGAAAATATAAACAATAAAGCATTTCAAGGTGGATTTGAAAAAAAAATAAAAAATGCAGACGGCTTGTTTCCATGCGTTTATGTTCAGCCAGTAGAGGAGCACCAGACAAGATCTTTTAAGCATGCTTAAAGCCCCAAACAAATAGATTGTTTAAAAATATGTTATGCCAGTCTAGTGCGAGCAAAGTGATATTTGGCAGTCATCCGTATTTATCATGGCAAACACTCACATCTGATCATTTGAGCAGTATTGTGAGAATGTGTTGCTGTTTGTTCTTCAATTCACTTCTAGGATGTAAATGAGCTGCCTATAAATGAACATCAATACCAGCAGATTAATATATAAAGCCATTACAAATAAATGATTGAAATAGTTATATGAAAAACGGCATCATTTAGGTTTGTGGTGTGTGAATGTGTGCTTGATCTTTATCGGCTCTTCTGGATCTGATGTCATAAACCAGAAGAATGACAGTAGCCACGCCCACCAGAGCAGAGAGGACCAATCGGATCACAGCTTCAGTAGAACCACAACAGTGGACAGAGTCTGAGGAATAAAAACATCAAACTGAGATCAGCTCAGTCAATAAACATTAATATCAGCGCCAACATCAACTAATATCAGCTGCTGTACCTGCACATGTGTGACAGAGTTGACTGATGTCCAGATGTTGAGTCTGGTTGCTGATGGGATTGTTGAGCACACAGCTGTAGCTGTTTTTATCCTGATATTCCACCTCCAGAGGTAGAGAGAGACTGATGCTGAGATCAGACACACTGATGCTGGACAATAAACTGTTTCCTTTGTACCAGGAGAGAGTCACATGACTCACATTCACCACTGAACACAGCAATGAACAATATGATGATGAAGATGATGATGATGAAGAACAGTCTCTGCTGATGACAGGAACAGGCAGACGAGCTGAAAACATGAGAAGTAAAGACAATTGAGGATCATTGAAGATAATCTGATGTAGAGAGATCTACAAACAATAATACATAAAACAGGAGAAACTGATTCCGTAACTCACCGTAGATGGTAACATTGAATGACTTGAACATATCGTTTATAATTAGTCCATATTCTCCAGCATGTTCAGTTGTGGTGTTTGTGATGGTCAGAGATCCAGTCTGTTTGTCCAGCTTCAGTCTGTCTCTGAATCTCCCATCAAGAACAGCATCATATACAGTCATGCTGTCCGCGTTTACAATGAGTTTTCCATCTGGAGAGTTTTCAGTTTCAATCAGCCACTGAATCTCATCACCACTCATTATTTCAGTACGACCAGAGTTTAGAGTGACTGAATCTCCCTCCAGCACTGATATTTCATCTGTATCACCAAACACACAGAGAACAAACAGAAATGTGGTTTGTTACACGTTAAGACTATTAAATAACTTTCAGATGTTTTACTAAAGCAAATCATTTGAAATTTACATTTGAAATGAGTAACATCATAACATGATGGACACAACAGAAGCCAAATGGTGTGTGGATAAAATATAAAACAGGTGAAATTTAACTCACTACTGACAATGAGAATAAAAAGCTCTTTGACACTGTTGACCTGTAGTTGATAAAATCCAGAATGTTCAGGTCTGATGTTTGTGATGGTCAGAGATCCAGTTTGATTGTTCAGCTTCAGTCTGTCTCTGAATCTCCCACCAAGAACATCATCATATACAGTCATGCTGTCAGCCCGTTTATTGATTTCAGCGATTAAAGAGTTTTCATTTGCAAACCTCCACTGAATCACATCATCATCCATCATTTCAGTACGACCAGAGTTTAGAGTGACTGAATCTCCCTCCTTCACTGACACTGACTTCAGTACTGTAACACCAAACAGAAAGAGAACAATCAGAAACAGGGTTTGTCACAAATTAAGACTTTTAAATAACTTCAATGTCGTTTTCACAAAAGTAAATAGTTTGACATTTAACTTTCACAATGAATATGAGACCCTGGAGCACAAAACCAGTCAAAATGGTCAATTTTTCGAAATTGAGATTTATGCATCATCTGAACGCTGAATACATAAGCTTTCCATTGATGTATGGTTTGTTAGGACAATATTTGGCTGATATACAACTATTTGAAAATCTGGAATCTGAGGGTGCAAAACAATCAAAATATTGAGAAAATCACTTTTAAAGTTGTCCAAATGAAGTCCTTAGCCATGCATATTACTAATAAAAAAGTACGTTTTAATACATGTAAGGTATGAAATTTACCAAATATATTCATGGAACATAATCTTTACTTAATATCCTAGTGATTTTGGCTATTGCTACAAATTTACCCATGCTACGGTTTTGTGATCCTGAAGAACCCTTGGTAACACTTTACGGTAAGGGTACATGAATTCATGCATAAATTAATGTGTGAATTATGCATTATTTCATGCATTAATATCTCACGAATTATCAGGACCTAACATGAGTTCAAAGTCTTTAATTCATGACTTCATGGATGAACAACACCTTAATTAAGACATTAAGTAAGGTGGGTACATCATCATGATTTATGATTTATTACGCATGATCATGATGTTTTCTTTGTTCACAAAAAAACAAGGTCTTTACTATCCATTGTGGATAAAGCTATGCTTATGGTACAAAAAAAGCATTATTTTGTGCATGTAAGACTACTTGAATTACTAAAGGAATATACAAAAATCCACAATACCTCATGCACGCATACAGGCTAGAACAGTGTATCAATTAATGTGATTAATTCATTAAATATGATATGAGTTATCAAGCATGTTCATATCTTCATCATAGTAGCCTGCAGGTAAATGGACAGACCCCAACACTGGCCAATCAGAGCACAGTATGTGAATTCTGTTGACATCCAAATACAGTAGTCATCGTTAACTAAGCATTAGCTTCTCATGTCTTCATCATGTGTGTGGCCCCTCAACTAAAGTGGTGACTTGGTCCTTTGGGATACTGATAAACAGTGTGTTATTAATGATGGCATAATTGTGAAATGACATGAATATGAACATGAAAGTTCAAGCTTTTGCACACAATGCACTGTGGACACAAAGGGACTTTGATCAAAACTTTCTGCTTTATTCTTAAACAGCATAACCCAGTTAAATCAACAGCAATGCCTGGGAAGAGCGGAGAAGGGATTCAGTACATATACCATGAACTTGAAGTGCCTGTATATCTGAAAACTCTTTACAAAACCATAAAGCTGGTTTACAAAACCATAAAGGATTTACAAGAAAAAAAAAAGATGGAACAAACAGCATGGTCTTTTTTAAGGTATTGGAGACACCTTTTAATGTAGCAGGCAACTGATGTGGACTCGTTAAATATTTAATGTTGAACAAAAATAAACTGATCAAATAAATGGCACAAACATGGCAGTACATATACAAACTTGTCCTATGTAGGGTATAGAGTGCAGAAAACAGAATTATATGTTAGTTGCAGGAGTTTTTGTGAGCAGGAGGCTAAAGCTTGAGCTATCTTAAAGAAAAAAATGATGGTTTAAATTTTACCACAGGACATCGATTTCATACATGTCCACTGTAGAGGACACCAGGATTAAAGCCCGTTTATTACACATTTTGGAAGACGCAACAAATTAAACGTGAACATTTGTGAACCATTTATTAATGAGTTATAAATGTTAATAACATCTAAAAGTGAACCTTAATGTAAAGTGCAGAGCTTGCAAAATTTCAAAATTCCTGGTAGCCCTTCGGGCAGGTACTCTTCAGATTTTCAAAAAAGACCTTTAAAAAAAATATAAATAAAAAAACAAAAATATTTGATAAATGCAAAATCAATAAAGGCACCTAAATATTTTTATTTTATCTAATTTAACGGTTTTGAGAAAATAATTGAATCAATGACTGAAAGCACTGTTATAGAACATTATCATATTAATAAGCAATCAGTAATTACTTTTTGATATCATGATAAACCCCACTGTAACTTCAGTATTTGTTCATCCACACTAGCAGTAACATTACCTGCGCGCGAGCGAACCGTCCGCGGGAGCGGTTATTTATTTGTATGGTAACAAATTAATTAAACTAGCAAGTCGATTACACATATAAACACTTAAAAAATATATTCTGCAGTGTCACCTCACAGTTAGCTGAGCAGTAAAATTAATAAACACAATGTGAGAGCACACTTCAGAGCACGTTGGAACAATCCTAACAGCGTGATGACTTCTTTGAAAACGTGACTTTACATCGGATGCTCGCTAGCGCCATCTACAGGCTTTGGTGACACACAGTCAACTACAGACACACCGGCTTTGGTGATGTGATCCTGAAAGAATATAATAAAAATGCATTATATGCAATGACAATTATTTTTTATTAGTAGCTAAAAATGGGAAGCAGGATTCAGATGCAGCAGTACCTACTATTTTTATTAAGAAGATTACTGAACTCGGGGAAATGTAGGACAACAAACCATTCACGTAAAAAACGAAGACAACCAAATACTAAAACTCTACTACTCTATACTGTAGGACTATAATAGACAAAAGGAGAAAGGAACAAAATACAACAGAATGCAACAATATGAATAAGAATAAGCAAACAAACACAAAACTAAATGTGACATTATATAAATACATGATATATTACATATTATAATAATATGTAGAAACAACATTAGAAATCTGTAAAAATTCATGTAAATTGTATGTTGTTATACAATTTCTGATACTTTCTGGTGTGCAAATTTGTGATTGATTTATTTAATTAATTAATTTTTTTAAAGCAAGGTTACATTTTCGAAATAAAAAAGGATCACATCACCAAAGCCGGTGTGTCTGTAGTTACCTGTGTGTCACCAAAGCCTGTTGATGGCGCTAGCGAGCATCCGATATAAAGTCACGTTTTTAGGATTGTTCCAACGTGCTCTGAAGCGAAATTATAATCTCACATAGTGTTTATTAATTTTAAGGGTCAGCTAACTGTGAGGTGATACTGCAGAGTATATTGTTCAAGTCTTTATATGTGTAATCGCTTTGCTAGTTGAATTAATTCGTTACCATACAAATAAATAACCGTTCGCGCGCAGGTAATGTCACTGCTAGTGTTGATGAACAAATACTGAAGTTACAGTGGGCTTTATCATGATATCAAAAAATAATTACTGTTTGCTTATTAATATGATAATGTTCTGTAACTGTGCTTTCAGTCATTGGTTTAATTATTTACTCAACTTAAATTAGATCAAATATAAATATGTATATTTTTTGGTGCTTAGTTATAATTTGATGGAATACTTTATTGTGTTTCTGAATTGATTAATGTGAGTTTACTTGTATAAGCCACTTTCTATGTGCAGTTATGCTCAGTAATGTTGTTTAAGTAGTTTAGTGCATCAAAAATAAAATACTTTTAACTGAGAAAAAAAAACTTCCGTGTGCGCATTAATAATTAATAAATGATTAGTGTGTCCACTTTATGGACACACTAGCTGTGCAAGCACAGCTTTTAATGGAAGGCCTATGTTTTTTTGTTTGTTGTTGGCTCATACTTTTAGATACGCTGTTATTTGTAAATGCTACTGCTTATGTTAGCTTTTAATATACGGTTTTATCCTGATTAAAGCTTTAATACAGTACAGCAACTGCACGCATGAACATGTTTAACGCTTCTCATAGCTATGTGAAAATAAGTGTATAATTGGAACAGTTCATTGTTGGAGCTGAGCTGAATATGAGAGAGAGAGAGATGCAGAGCAGGGGGACGCGAGGAACAGTATTAAGAACTGCTGCTTTAGAACATTGATTTTGAAACTTGTGAATCCATTAGAACAGTGGTGTAGTCTACGTGATACGCAGGTATATGCCATATACCCACTAGGAAAGGTCAAGGATTTCCCTGAAGCATGCTTCAGCTGCAGCAGATGACACGAATCGTTTGAACGTTTTAATTGGCAAGGCTTAAAAAAAACCATGCAAATGATAAAGTTTCGTGAGGACGCACCAGTGGCCCCATCGGAGCAATAACTATGTTTCCATCCAAAGATTCGAATTTAACTCATGCGCAAAACTGGAATATCGCATAAAACATTTGCGAATAAAGCACCGTTTCCATCCAACGAGTCAAAGAGAACAAAAACATCACTTCCTGATAAACTGGCACTAAATATCATTAAGAAAAGTAGAAGAAGCCACTTAACTCGTTCCCCACCATTGACGAGTTATCTCGTCTTTTAGAAGAAAACGCTTCCCCGCCAAAGACGACATTTTACGGCTTTCCGTGCTTTCACTGTTACACACCCGGGGGGCGCTATTACGCATCTTCTGAACGAGTACAAAACCTCCCGAACAAAAACACACGTGAACAAGGACGGAGAAACGAGCGATCTCTTATGTAAACAGATGCATATGAAAAATAATGCGATCATTAGCAATAGACAGCATATAAATGAAAACTGCATAATGTTACGGAGTAAAATGTTGATCCAGGAAGTGGTATATGTCTGTGCAAGCTTTGGAGGTGTTGATGGAAGCGATTTGCTGGATTTATGCTTTGATAATCGTACTGAATATTATCCAGATGTAGTTTTGATAAAAATTTGATTCTCACCTTTTTGCTTAAAATGTTGCATTTTTAAGAAACCGTCCGATATTCAAGTTGATAAAAAAAAAGAATGCTTTAAGCTTGAATAAAACAGATTTTTTTTTTGTTTAAACGTAGAGGCTCTGATCTTTATTTTGGTGTATTGCATATTCAAATATACATACAGCAAAATATACTGGAGGCCATCGAATTTTAGTAAAAATCATTAAAATCGCTGGCGGTGGCTGGCAACTTTTTTTTTTAAATGCTGGCGGGGAAAGAGTTAATATAATAATTTTTATACATGATGAATTACTTGCCTCAGAGAGAGCAGACGAAACACAATAAATGCTGTCATTGCTTTTGGAAGTGGATGCTTGCATGTTTGGGAACGCTGTCGTGTTACAGTTCTGGGAAGCAGTTATACAGAAATAGTACTTTGATGAGAGACTTTGCTCAGGCATTTCAGAACGACCTAAACAAAATTTCAGATGCAGTGCAACGAGATCGGTCCACTGGTTAGTCAAGTTATTCTGTCCCATCGTGCAAAGTCATGAGTTTTTTTGATGCGCATGGTGGAATTTATTTGGTAAATGTGTTTCCATCGTTTTTCTTATCGGATAAAAAAAATAATTATCCAACTCAATTGTGCGCTTAAGTTTTTTTATGCGTATTTGTAGAATTTATGCACATCTTGGCATTTCCATCCAGCGTTTATTATGCGATATTCCAAAATGCACATAAAAATAGGTGGATGGAAACAGCAGTGACAGATCAGTCAACTGTCCCGAGCGTCTTTCACACTGGCCTCATGCCTCTATCAGTCACTACCTGACCTGGTCATGATCAAATATGTTAGCTTTGCTTGGCAGCATAAAGGAAAAGTATGCAATTATCTGTAAATTTAACTAACTGAAAATGAAAGTAAATGAGGGGTGTTGAAAGATTTATTATCCTGTGGCTCCCTCTAGTGGACTGCAGTTGTCCTCTAGAGAGGACATTTTACTCAGCCAATGCAAATCTATGGGAAACCTTTGATTTTTGATAATTATTTATACGAAAACTGTAAGTATCATCAGTTAGAAAAGATATAGAAACAAACTACAGATCAGGTCCAAGGTCTCTGACAAGTTTGGTGCCTGTAGCATTAAAGCCCTGGGAGGATATACAGTACAGTTGAAAATTCTTGGTCTCAGAAGAATAAGAAGTATAAATACTATAACAGTATGTTGGCTTTCTCAAGCCAACATAACTAGCTAATAACTTAAGTTCCGTTAGTGTGGTGGATCAGTGAATGTGGGAGAATAGGAGAGATAACACAGATACTGTGTATGTGTGTGTCTGTGTGCAGCAGTTAAATGGAATGCAATGTTTATATCTCCTAGTTTCAGATGATGAGAGAGATGAGAACTCCTGGCCAGCCTTGTGGACAGAAAGTCAGGCTAGGGAATTTAAACCTTCTACAAAAAACTAGACTACACCACTGCATTAGAATCGTTAGAAGACAGAATCGCGATTCATATACGAATAGATTTTTACACGCACCTCTAGTTTCCTCTTCTCTATAGCAGTGCAGCAAGGCCTCGCCCCCTTTGCTGCATGTTCCCGAGGGCGGGGTTTATCTGGGTTTGTGATGTCACGAACCCAGGAAGTAACTCGTTGTAGTCCCTACCAGCCGTTTTTGTAGGCATTAAACTGCCAGAATTTTAAAAGACCATATCTCCGTTTTGCATTGAACTTCCAGCTTCGTAACTTTTAAGATATTGTTTATGCTCAAACAGCAACATTACACACTAACTAACGTTAAAAAAAGTGAAATCGCAATGAACCACCCCTTTAACGTAAATCCCCAACAGAGGCTTCAAAAAATAAATGAATTAAAACAGATGGCTCATTACTGCTTTTTTGGAGCTCAGCCATCCTGATACACAGACTGTCAACACACTCTCAAACAGGTAAATGATTTCTTTCTTAAAATGTCTATCATTTTTAACTTTTAAACTGTAACTGGTTTCCTACCCATCGTGTCTTTTTCTCTTTTTAGTTTAAGAGCACATGTAAGTGTGACCAGCTCTTTTCATTTAAGGATACCTCTTTCGCCATCTCCACTAAGTAAGTAGCAAAGATTTTGAATTTATGGTCCATATTGTTAGATTTATTTATTTTCTTTTTTTATTATTACATAAAGGAGGCAAATTGTAACTCCAAACTCAATTGTGAATTTCAGATGCTGTCACATCCTACAACCTCGTCATCTGCAGAGAGGAATGGCCACTCAATCACAGCAAATACACATAATGACGGACTTACAGGCATCACAGAGGATTGTGAAAATACAGTATTTCACTTGAACTTGGTCTTCATTACACTAGTTTCTGTTTCTATTTTTGTTTTACTTCAAGTATTTATTTATGTTTAGTGTTAATTGTCATTCATTAATGTATTCTGCTAATAACGGTTGTTAGATCACTGTTATTTTTGCTACAATTTCACATAATTTAATAAAAATTTAAAAAATACCTAAGTGACAACATGCTGTTGTTGTTGTTTTTATGAAAACCTTAATAGACACTACACGATATTATAAGACCAGGCAGGAGGTAAAACAACAATAGTAAATAATTTATTCAAATAATATTATCATTAAAAAGGTTATTTATAGCACCTTTAAGGTTCTATATAGCACTTTCAAAGCATGGTTCTTTATGGAACCCTATAAAAAGGGTTCTATTTAGCACCAAAAAGGGTTCTGCTATTGATACAAGCTGAAGAACCCTTTTCTGGTACTGTTTAGAACCATTTTTCTTAAGAGTGCAGGTGAAACAGATGAGGTTGAGAAAATATTTACTCACCATTGATAGTGAGATTGAAACTCTCTCTCACACTGTTGATCTGTAGTTTATAATTTCCAGTGTGATCAGGTCTGGTGCTTGTGATGGTCAGAGATCCAGTCTGATCGTCCAGCTTCAGTCTGTCTCTGAATCTCCCATCAAGAACATCATCATATACAGTGAATATGTCAGCCGTTACATTAATTTCAGCTATTAAAGCGTTTTCAATTCCAAACATCCACACAATCCCATCATCACCCATTAACTGAGTATGGCCAGAGTTTAGAGTGATCGAATCTCCCTCCATCACTGACACCGACTTCATTTTAACACCAAACACACCTGTAGAACAGAGTTTTTCACAGATTTAAAGAGATTTTCACTATAACTGAAACCATTTTATTTAATTATCCTTAATAACTGACTATAGACCCAAACTTGATCTCAGAAAGTTCAGTTATTTCTATATGAGAATAACTGTTAATGTCAATCCTCTCTGACTAATTTAACCAGTAATTTATTACATGGTACCAGAACAGAAACAACTGAAGCCATAAAAACACATTTCAAACTCACCATCCAGACGCCACAAACACAAACAGAACAAAACTAATTTGCGAATTTTCTTCATCGGTTCACTGAAAAACCCACGGTAGCAATGCTTAAAATGTCTGAAAACTCTGAACTCATCACGGTTTCCTTTATTACAGGAAGTCGTGAAAAAGATATTATGATTAAAGTGACATATTGCTTTTATATTAAATTAGATTAGGACTCATTGATGTGAGTCCTATTTGACCTTTGGCTATTATTTAACTGTTGATGGATTGGCTGTATTTCAGTGTAAAGATGTTTTGTGTGGAAAAGAAGTTTGTGAGTTCATATTAGCAAGAGAGGAAATGGCAAGGAAAAAATATAAAACTTCACCCCCAAGCTACTGACACACTCAGCGACCACAAACATCCAGTAGAAGCCGACAGATCAAACCAAATGTAAAGATTTCTGTACTGATAAAACAGGCTAACCATTGCAGGGTTCAATCTCACTCACAAACAGAGCTGATTTCATCTAAATCTTTAATTCATTTTGTATATTTTTTCATAAAGATTTCATATACAAACACGAGTAAAATTTGAATTTGAGTTTTTCCCATGTCTCATTTGCTAGATTTAAAGGAAGGTTTGCGGATGATTCGTTATAAAACTCATTTAAATCGCTGCAAAAATTACTGTGTATGGTTTAAAATATAAAATAAAAACAATCGAGTCAAGGAAGTGAAACCACTTCCTCGCGACGTTGTCATGGTGAATATGCTCGATCTTCGCGTTCTCATCGGCGAAACCTCGAAAAATTCTGTTGTAAACATGTAAATACAGACTACTTTCTGTTAAGACGAGGCTTTCTGATGACATCAAACAGAGCTGATTTCATCTAAATCTTTAATTCATTTTGTATATTTTTTCATAAAGATTTCATATACAAACACGAGTAAAATTTGAATTTGAGTTTTTCCCATGTCTCATTTGCTAGATTTAAAGGAAGGTTTGCGGATGATTCGTTATAAAACTCATTTAAATCGCTGCAAAAATTACTGTGTATGGTTTAAAATATAAAATAAAAACAATCGAGTCAAGGAAGTGAAACCACTTCCTCGCGACGTTGTCATGGTGAATATGCTCGATCTTCGCGTTCTCATCGGCGAAACCTCGAAAAATTCTGTTGTAAACATACAGACTACTTTCTGTTAAGACGAGGCTTTCTGATGACATTTTTTTTTGTATTATTATTTTTATGCCTTTTTAATGAGATACGACAGTAGAGAGATGACAGGAAAGCACTGGGAGGAGAGAGGGGAGCGGGATCGGCAAAGGACCTCGAGACGGGATTCGAACTCGGGTCGCCGCGAGCGTGGCGACGCACTAACCACGAGGCTATTGGCGCCGACTCTGATGACATTTTGTGTTTATTTTATACATGTGAAAAAGCTAACTGTGTCCAGTTTAAAAAATAAGTAATGTTTACTAACCAGTCAAGATGTGGAGTCGTGGAGGACCAAGGAGTTCAGTTCTGAACCGGGCGAAGGATCAGCTCTCTGGACAGAGAATCACAAACAATGGGATAGCAAGGGACAAAAGAGATGTGGTTAGTGTGTGTTACACGATTGCTTTACATTCGACATTAAATCAAAAGGAACGATGTTTACTTTTTTTTTTTAAATAGACGTTTCTGGTGTAATTGCGCATGATTCATCGCATAATTCTTTGTAATAACTTTACTTTTCGGTATTTTATTTTTTCCTTGACTTTTTGTTTTTCTTAATTATTGTGTTGTAGTTTTGTTGTACCATAGTGTAAACTGAATGATCAAACAAAACATTATATAAAAAAATAAGCTAATCAGCTATTTAGCATTATATTTAGTCATTGTTCTAGTCTACTGTTGAAGGTAATGTGGCCTTTCTAAACTTTTTACAAAAAAATAAGTATTTTTATGCTGTTTAATGTTATTGTAACAAAGGTTAGGATTATAATAGGATATGCTAATTTAGTAGATTAAAAAATAAATAAATAATGGTTTCTAACACCATTCTCTTATTAAATGACAATAACTCCTCTTTACCTAGGAAAGTCCTGGAAAATACATGTCACCGTCTAAGCAGATGCAATTCCAGGACCAGAATGACATCTTTTCACCATCAGCGAGTGAAAACCAGGACCCTGTGAAAACGACAACATTGGAGGGTTTCAGCATGGGTGGCGGGAGCCGATTTCTCAAGACTTCCAAAGATGCCACTGGTGATAGACTGTCATCTGCTCCTACAGGATGTCCTGCTGGAACAGATTAATTTAAGTTCATACCTCAACGCAGTTCACAAAGCGTAGCTTTGAGTAGACTAGCACTCATCGAGAACAACATCAGAAACCAGAAAAGCAAAAACAACGGCCCCAGTATACATACATACCTCTCCGAACCACAAGAGACATTTATCTGTTCAGTCCAGCAGATCTGAGCATGACAGGGAGCCTCTTTCTAAAGAGGGACCATGTCGGCACCTCAAGAGCAGGTTCCTAAGAGAACATCTGGTCTGAATGAACAAAGAAAGGAGAGACAGTTTAGACAGTGATGAAAAGGACATGCAAAGACTTCTAGGAGATTCTTTTAGCTTAACAGAATGTTCTTTGCAAAATGCAGTGAGGCAGAAGAGTCCTCAACCAGTTAAAAAGGTATTAGAACAGTTAAAAGAGTTGGTTGACCATGGTTTACTCACCTTATTGTCATTCTAAACCCGTTTTACTTTTTTTCTTACAGTTATAAAAGAGCAGTAAAAAGTCCACCGTACCTTCACCAAATCCTGAAAGACACAAAGTTTTCAACCATCAAAGTCTTTCCCCTCCCCCCAGCAGGCCTGAGTCACATATGGTCCGGTTTACTGAACATTCAGTGTCCTCTGAAATGGATCAGTGAGATACCAGTCTTTGGACAATCTTTTTCCTGTTGCTGCGACACTTGATCCTGATGATACTCTGAGCGAGAGGAGTGCAGCATCAGATGGTAAAACACCAGTGGATTCCAAATTTTGCAATAATCTGAAACCATTCTTAACTATTGTTAAGTAGAATTGTTCACCTAAGTGTTTTAAATACATTTTTCTCTCTTGGTGATTTCCCAGATTTCAAACTGAACGTAATGCCACTGGATGATCTCGCCCCTATACCTTTTGAAGCAGCAAAAATCTCACAAGAAAAGGTGTGTTAAAATGTCATTTCTGAACATAATTTACGTATTTTTTTATTGAAAAACATTGTTTGTACTCAGAAAGAAACACAAACCAGAACAGAAGATAGAAACAAGAAGTCATCCAACAACATCTCAAATGTTGCTTCACCACCCACACCGGAAGACGCCTCGGCTGCCTACGAGAACGATTTTGAGAGCGAGATCCCATCTGAGTTGCCACAGAGCGCCAGTGAGATCTCTGAACGTCTCACAGATAAAAACAAAGATGCCTCACTGATCAGCGAGGCCCAGCACAGCACACACAAATCCCAGGACGATGACGACGATGACCATACTTTATCACAATCATCGTCATCCAGACACCACTCAAGACACTTCGTCGAGGTCTAGCTCGTTCAATGCAAGTCACACATGGCCCCAGTCCTGACCGTCGTATAAAGGAGGTTGCGGTACAGACTCAGACAGATGGACTAACTTACATATGGTCTTCTGGTAGGTTTACATGATCTGATACTTCGGTCCAGCAAGACTACATTTCTTTGAGGCGTACCTCAGGGTTATATTTCAAGACCACCTTGTTCTTGTTCTGAGAGAAATGTATGTGGGTGAATCTCTCAAAACCTGTCAAGAACATGTCTTGGTCATATTTCTGACTCCATTTCTTTGGGGCGTAACTCAGGGTTATAGTTTAGGACCACTTTCACTCTTTTTCTGAAAGAAAGGTATTTGGGTGAATCTCACAAAAACAATCAAGAACACGTCTAGGTCATATTTCCAACTCTATTTCTTTGGAGTGTCCCTCAGGGTTATGGTTTAGGACCACTTTCGTTCTTTTTCTGTGAAAAATGTATTTGGATCAAGAACACATTGAAGTCCTTTTCATCTATAATACATTTTTTGATATGTATTGACACAAATGTCATGAAATTTAAGCATTTTGCTCCAAATTTCCATTACCGTAATGCAAAAAACCTGGAAAGATGGTTTTGTGAGATCCACTCATTTATGTTTTTGTGATATAATTTTTTTCAGGCATTTTTGGTCCGTCGGTGGGTATGACGTACATGGACCCCACCCCAATAGCCAGTCACAAAGTCAGCGCTGAAGCCATTGAGAGTGAGTATACAGTATGAACTACACGCTTTACGTCTGAATGACCCTGAACCTAGAAAACATACATCTTAAGAGGTTATTACAAAGAATCAGAACATTTCAGTCATTGAGAAAATTATTTTACTAGTTGAACCAGCTAATTTTCCATGTTAACAGGTTTGACGGCATACAGTCCTGCTGTTTTTGCACTCAATGACATGTTGCAGCAGTAGTTGGCCCTCACTAGAGCATTCATCGACTCCACCAGACGTCACTACACATCATTGATTGAGTCACTGGGACCTGCTGATTACAAATACACCACACTAGAGGATACTAAAGAGGTAAAAATTCAATGAGTAACAAAATGAGACTGTGAGGGTTAGACGTAGAACAATTGTATCAAGTTTGTATCATTTTTATTTATATATTCCTTTCATAATATCTTAAGTGTTTGCTAACAGGATTTTTTTTTGTTCTAGTTTATTCACGCTCACAGGCCACCCAAACTGAGTATCGAAAACGCTTTAGAAGTAGTTCTACAGGAAATTAGAGACTAAGACGAGTTTTGGATGCATCATCCATAGATTATAAACAGCCAAAACTTTTCAATCATTGTTCATGTAATAACGTGCCTAAATAAACCAGCATTTTTCAGTATCGGTTCACTGTTTCACTTCAATCATTCATGCATAAATGAAATGTTTGTCTAAACACTGCGCCCTTTTTAAAATATCTTTATTTTGCTTGTACAGAGTCTCAGAATAATCAAAGGAAGCGCTTGCAATGACACTGACACCTCAGTTACAATATGATGCTTTTATGCATTTTACTACAAAAAGGAACCAAGGGCAAGATAAAATGTCCAAACGAATGTGAAAACAGCTTTGACATCTACAGTAAAAAACAAAAAACAAAAAAAAAACAGACCACGTGTGATGGGTGATCACTCTGTGCTGGAGGGCTCCTGGGGGTCTCTGATTACTGAGGATGAACAAAGATAAAACATTCATACTTGGTTATAATTAATAGTAAGTTCAATACTTGGGGTTAATAGTTTGAATAAACCCCTAACCCTAAGTATTAGCATCAATATTAGTGATGATTGACTTGGCAAACAGGCTTTTGCTAACATTAAGGTCTCTATTTTAAAAACATGAATACCTTTTTCTCGTGCTTTCATCCTTGCAACAAAATTGTAGCTTTTGTTTCGCCTGTAGTTCACGTACGGGTCATCC